TGGGGCGGGTGGTGGTGGGTCAGGGTGGGGGCGGGGCCCACAGGACCCCAGGGCGCTCTGACGGGTTAGAAGTCAAAGCCAAACGCTCCGTGGTCTCACTCAGCGATCCTCACAAACCTCCGCGCCTGCCTGAAGGCCCTGCGCCCCTGTCCCCCTGACTTGAGCGCTCACAGCCAAGCCCCAGGGTCGTATTCAGTACTACTCGAGATCTCAAGATCGTGAAATTAGTGCCACGTTTTATAATCGGTCTCCGAGTGAAGAAATCGAGTCTCAAAATCGTAAAGGGTTGTGTCCAAGCCCACTAAGAAGTGGGGGGCAGGGATTCAAACCCCACCTCCCACTCTAGGCAACCACTGAGACTGACTTGTTCCCTCCAGGCTTGGTAGGCTTGGTAGGCCCTGGGGATGTGGTAGGGGGTAGGGAGAAGTGCAGAGAGAAGGGCTGAGTTAGCTGTTTGTGGATCAGTAGGATCCCACCCTCACTGAAGCAGCTCCATTGAACTGGGCACCGACACGGCACCCCTGCCCGGCAGGGCTCTGTGGCCTCAAGAGTGGGTGGTTGTTTCCCCAAGGGTCCTCCTGAGAAGGGGTAGCAAGAGGGAGAAGGAAGAATGAAGAGTGAACACAAATAAGAAGATGGCAGCCCGACAGATGAAGGATTTCCTGAATTCTGACACTCACTTCCTAGCTGTGTGACCCTGACAACTTTCTCAACTTCCTCCATCCTCATTCCATCATTCCCTCGACACTGATGGAGCCCTTCCTCTGTGCCAGGTGAGTTCCTGGGCGCCGAAGAGATTTGAAGGTGGACTGAGCTAGAGTGGTCCCTTCTCTCATGGAGCCTATGTTCTAGTGGAGGGAGATAGAAAAACCAGCCAAGCAAGCAAAGCAGCAATAATTACAGACACGATAGGGTACCGAAACAAAATAACTGACAAAGTGAGGCAATGGGAACGGGAGAGGAGACATCATTCCATCGTAGTCCAGACAGGTCTCTCCAAGGAGGTCAATTTGAGAAGGAAGAGAGGGAGTCCTTTTCTGTAAAATGACGTCAATAAATTAGTATGAAGATCATGTTTCTGACACATAGTAGGCACTCAATAAATATGTGTTGATGAATAAGTGGTATACTATATGTAAAGTGCCTGGCGTACAGTAGGTGCCCAATGCACAACCTGGCTCTTTACAGAGGGGCTGAGTTCCTGGAAATGTTGACTCTAAATTTTGAAATCCAAGCTTCATTCCCCTTTGATTTTCATTATAAAATTGAAGATGTGTTCCTTTGGGGAAAATTCCAAGGACTTAGACTGAATAAAATTATAGTTAAGAATGTAGAAAACCTTTTAAAATAGTGTATTTAAAGGAAAAGTGATCATTTCCGATGAAATATTAATAGTTCTGAAAATGTCACTCAGTGTTTGTGCTGCTTGGCATTTGGTTGGATAACACCTAAGCTTAGAGCAGAACGCCAACGGCCCTGCACTGCCCAGGCCCCAGGATTCTGGAAAGTTAACCAGCTCACTCACTTTCTCCTGCTCTCTCTCCCCCTCAGCAAGAGACCAGGCAACAGGGGCTAAATTAGAAAGGATTGCAAAAAAAAAAAAAAAAAAAAAAAAAAAAAAATATATATATATATATATATATAGCAGGGGACGGGAACAAAGATAGAGCGCGTTTTTAGAGTACACAGATGAGGTTTCCAGAAGATTCTACAAAAACCTTAACTGATGTACTTAGAAGCAGTATGAAGTTATATCCATATGGTAGCCACTAGCCACATGGGGTTGTTTTAATTTTAATTTTATGTTCATGTAAATTAAATTAAAAATTCATTTCCTCAGTTGCACTATCCACATTTCAAGAGCTCGATGGCCACATGTGGCTAGCAGTTACCATACAGGACAGCACAAAACATATAGACTCTACAACCAACCACCTGGGTTCAAATTCTGAGTTCATGTTTTCTGGTTCTACAGACTTAGGTAGGTGACTCTCTGCCTTGGTATATTCATTTGCTAGAACTACCATGACAAACTACCACAGCCTGTGTGGCTCAAACAACAGAAATGTATTTCTTCACAATTCTAGGGGCTGAAGGTCAAGATTGAGGTGTTGGCAGGGTTGATTTTATTCTGAGGTCTCTTTCCTTGACTTGTAGATGGCTGTCTCTTTTGAAAAGGACACCAGTCATATTAGATTAGGACATACCTTAATGGCCTCATTTATCTTAACCACCTCTTTAAAGACCCCATCTCCAAATACAGTCACATTCTGAGGTTTTGGGAGTTAGGATCACAATACATAAATTTTGGAGGGACACAATTCAGCCCATAAAACTTGGTTTCCTCATCTGCAAAATGAGATGATAATAAAGAACACTTGCCTTGTTGAATTGCTGTAGATGTGCTAAACTAAACAATTTGCATAACACACGGAGAGTCCCCACAACAGCAACTGGCTCATAAGGGGAATGTAAAAGTGCTGTCCATTAGTGTGCTTGGTGCTTACGTGGAAATGCATGTCTTTGAAGTTTCTGAATAACAGATTTTGTGCCTTGTGTATGGAGGGAGAACTTTATTTGTACTGGGGAAATTGTCCTGTGATGGAGAAAAGGACTAAAATCATCACTTATGTTTTTCTAGACTTTGCTTATTTTTGAACACCTATCAAAAACTGTGCAAGACATAGGGATTAGACGTGAGTAAGGCCTCAACCCTACACAGAGTCATAGCCTAACAAAGGCGGGGGTTATTCCATAAGTGCCTAGTACAGAGCAGTGTGGCATAAAGCGACTTCTCTAGTCTCCTCCATTCAACATGTAGTTATATTCCTCTAGCACATGTATCTATGTGCCCAGCAATGAAGATAGAGTAGTGAGGAAGACAGGCTTGATCTGTGCTTTTTACAGAGCTTGAAGTAAAGCATTTAATGGTCACGGACACCATTTAATCTGTAAATTCTTGTTAGCTTGGGACAATTCTTAAATTTCCCCTTATTTCCTATATTATCCTGGGCAAGTTATTTAACCTAAATATCTCAGTTTGCTCGTCTATGAAACAGAGATAATAAAATGTTCAACTCACAGTGCTGTTTTGTGACAATTAAAACAATATCTGTGAGGTGCTAAGAATAGTTCATCTGGTAACTGTTGAGTACTTACAACAAGCAAGTACCCAAATCATGTTGGCTATCATTATTTCAAATTCTGGGATTCTTGCTTTCTTGCGTGGAACCAGAAAAACCTCAGGAGGTGGCAACTCTCCCTACCTATTCTCCTGCCAAAGCCTCTCCTCACCTGGCCTCCATTTCTGACACAGGCATGGCTAGGTTGGAAAACTCAGAAAGACGGGCATGGCCTGGGTTCTTTTACGATCTTCCTAGCCCCTAAGCCTGCTTACTCTTGTAGGTCCTTTTAGAGTCTTCATCCAACATATTTTAAACACACCCACCTCTCACCATAAAAATAACTTTTGGGCTATGGAAGAAAATTGAAAGGATTTTTGCCATTTTGCTTTTGAAAATTTTTGGCCATGAGTAATTTATTTAATTTGTGATGGGCTGTGATTTCTCACCAATCTTGTTGCCTACTCGAGAAATCTTGTGCAGTGAGAAAACTCCAACCTACAAATTGTTATCAAAGGCAATGAAATTTTTATGACTACTAAATTCAACAGTTAATGAAGCTGACATAATGTTACACTTGGCATTTAATTAAATACTTACTGATTTCAATGTTGCAGTTTTCTTCTTTGTATTGTGGGGCTAGTAATAAAATGTTTAGGTCTCAAACTTTTTGGTGGGCTCCCTAAAAGCCACAGAGACCCGCCCAATACCATGCTGATACTTCTCAATGGGTCACAAAGCTCAGAGATGAAGCCCATGTATGGGGATACCCCAGACAGATTTCTTGAGGGATGAACCAACAGAACTAAAGAAAGAGGAGGTTGTAGTCATGCTTTATGGGAACAGGCCTCCTGTGGATGTTGTCTCAGCAACCGGAGAGGGCTGCAGAGCAGCCAGCCATTTCCAGGTCTTTGAAAAGGAACCTAAAGTGTTCGGAAAGCAAAGCTGTGACTCTGTGGCTTCTCTCTCCTGGCAACACCAGTAGCAATCCCTACCATTTCACA